CGTCCTGGAGAAACGATTTTTTGAATACGAGTAAGATTTTGTGAAGAACCAGCGACTCACCGATGACGATGAGAGCCAGTACATGAAGCGGAATGAGATTAATGATGAACACGTATCCTCCCCAAGCGGAAACCATGTAGAAATATGAGAGGGCGCAGAAAGATGCCCACATAACGGAGCCAGTCTTCAACGCTTTGACCCATAGGTAGTATGTGAACTGGAAATTACTCATGTAGAGAACTCGATAACATGAATATTTCGAGAGATATCGGTAAATAAGTCATGGGGCATTAGAAAATCAATTTGAATAATATATCGAAAATACGCGAAACGAAAATTTAGCCCAAAATAAAAGCCAATTTTACAAATTATTGGGACTGAGTGGCAAGAAACGGAACCCCTTGCGTACCTGGAGCGCAAAAATGGCGATACCCTCGTTATCGTAAGATCCGGCAACAGATCGACTTGTGTATCCAGGTGAAATAGCAATAAAGCATGCAGCAAACAAACCTATAATTTAAATTAAAGTGTTATCTTTGCAGTATGTGACAAATCTAACCAACCGGCTCCAGCAGACCATAGCTCCTTGGTTAGCAGATAAGTGGCGATAGCAGTTAGCCCGGAGAAAGTCGGTGCAAGGAATACGCAGATTTCCCTAAAAGCATTCTCTTTTCATCAAACACACTTTATTCAAGGAAAGCTGATAGCACGCAAAAACGTGTGAATACACTGAGTAGCAAATGGACTAACCTGATATGGACGTGGAAGTTCAGTGAGTCCAGAAGCCAGTGAATCGTACCAGAGGTTAACATCAGCCCAGGATAAACCTAAAAGTCGCATTCAACAATGAAATCTCATTAAACCGTGGCTCAGACATACTGTTCCTCCGACGATTCGTCCAAGCGGATACCATGCTCGCTCATCGAACCAGTTCAGGAAGTTATAGTACCCATGCTCTACCATATAAGCAGTAGCGCGGTAGTTGAACCTGGAATAAAAGTGCTGGAAGTAGACCAAACAGAGGTTTGAGTTAGTGGATCAAACCATGACCTACCATGGATCGAACTCATGAATAATGGACTCAAATCGTACGATG